AACCAGTGACTATCAATCTTTAACAACCAACCTGTCATCTGCGTTACCTTTGCAAAGAAAGAAATTTTAATCACTATTTTTGGAACTTATCACTTTCGTTTAATCACCACCTGAGTAGTCCAAACCCTTAAGGTAAGAGAACCTATCAAAAATGGGCAACGGACCCTATAGGAATTAAGAAAAACCTTGAGTTTTACTAATTCAAAGGCAGGTAACATTACCAAAGGAAAATACCTCTGAAGCAGTATAGAGCTCAGAAGACCTGCAGTGTTTTAACCAGTTAAGAATATTTGAAAGAGAAGACCGTGTTCAGGGCAACACCCTCTAGGCTAAGGAAATTCACGGTTGAACTGTTGTCGAATACTATACAGAAAACGGAAAATAGCTTTCAAAGACACTGTCGGCCAACTCCTAATAACGTCGCTCTTTCAGTCACTTTTATGAGTTAAACTTGTGCTTCACCAAAGGCCCTTACGCCTATTTGTTTTCAAAGAAGATTTGATTCTCAATTAACAGATTTTCAAGAGTTTCGTCATTTGAACCACAGACAAGTTGTTATTGGTGATATGGTTCCGTGTATATTTAAAAAATGCTGCTCCTTCTCTTCTGAAACTGTAAAGGCATTATTTACCAAAACTAGATTCTTACGAACATTTTTTGGCAAACATCCCTCTGAATTGGGAACTTTTTGAAAACAGAGTTAGCCGGTACTGATTTTCCCATTTGTAATAAGACAAATTCAAGTTAAATGGAACTAGAAATAAAAAATAAAAACTAAGTAAAAAGAAACTGTCGCCTTCCAAACTACCTGTCACAGATAGACGCCTACAGGCAAATACAAAGAAAACTGCAAAATCTTTTTCAAACCGATCAAATAACGTGAATTCCTGTGCAGCTGCTTGACCATCTCGCCAAGCAGACTTTCTTCTGTGTAGAGTACTGTAGTACCTAAGCTAATTCAAACGAATGCCCTAGCATTATCACTTCTTCTTGTTTAGTAGTTAAATTTTTATAGACTGTAGGCCTCAAATATCATTAGCAATACGCAGCTTCTTTGCACAAAACTATCACAGTCCAAAAATAATTTTCTCAGAATCGAAGAATTTGTAAACCAGTTACTGAATGATGCGCAAAGCCTAAAACCCACCTTCACAGGGACAAATTGGCAATACGAAAATCTAGTAATAAAATTTTTATTTTAAAATTACTCACATTTAAAAGACTGTGAAAAGTACACATACCAAGACTGTGAAAAGTATACACACATACCATACGCGAGTCAGCAAGAGCCTTCAAGATGTGCACCCATTCATGTTTAACATACAATTCTAGGTATTAGTTTTTTCACACCCATCTCTCGGTGGAATGTTAATTATCTAAGGATCCTCTAAGATTGACTAAGGATTTTCCGACGCAGTACGGACACTGCTCAAGCAAACCTGTTTACTAGTTATTTGGAAATTTTGTCGCAGAACTTTTCTACAGTCCCAAATAGTGTGTTAATCTTCAGAAAATAAATTTTTTTTTGAAAACAATTATTTCAAGAAGAAAGTTAGAAACTAGTGTTGGCTAGAGACCAACAATTACTCTACAACTAAACATTTCTGACTGTTTACGCCTTCAAAAACAGTTCCAACTGTCAAGATCAATTTAGTGATGCTGAAAAATCCCTGTTAGCATCAACAGTTCATTTGTTTATACTATTGCGTTAGGCACGACAGGTCTCCAAAAAGACAGAAATCAAAAAGAAGTGTTTTTCGAAACAGTATTCTTGACCAATCTGCTACTTCCTTATGACAGTACTTTGACGGCGATATGCTCTTGCTTTGTCGGTTTACGTGTGAAGAATGATACCTGGCAATCAAATTGCACGCATTTTCATCCTTGACGAGTATCTCACGCACGACAGAGAAATGATTTTAAAAAACGACTTGCTTGCTTATCATCTTCGTTAAAATTAATTCTTATTAGAAACTGATGCAAGAACCAGTTGTAAGAAGACCGATCTGGAAATGTGAATCTAGCGTGCTACAAACGTCCTCAAAAAAACTTGTGCAGAGAGTGAGAAAAGAGCATAAATTTCACGGATTACTAAGCCTTTATCATTGTAATTCAGCAAGTCAACAAGTAACAACAAATTCCCTCAACAAATGGAAAGGAAAAAAAGAAAGTCAAGATGATATTCTGTAACTCCAAATTTGTGGCAAACAACTGTGGGCCTGAACACCGAACGCAGTGTATCATGAGATGCTATAAGTTTGCCACACACATTTCATAGCCCGTCTTCTCTCCTGAGTTTTTCCAGACAAAATCGCCCCACTCTGCACCAAAACCTGAAAAAGCGCGCTGTTATCTTTGCTATAAGCGTCTGAGTGACAAAAATTCTGACCAGAAGTAAAACGAGCAAATGTACGTCACTTCATGAAACCAAGGCCCAACTACATTAAAAAACGCAAAAATCCAAACTACAGATTATGAAGACTTTAGCATCACATTGAAATTTCAGTCATAAATGAAAAAAAGCAACGAATTTCACGCAGCGCATTTACCTTAGAAAACTTATACTTAATGTTACTATGATGGTGTACACTGTAATTCAAAAATAAGCAGCTTCTCACTAATTTTTAATCCAGTAAACGCATATTACGATTTATTTGGAGGAATATTGGGTAATTCTAAACTGTGCGCTAATTAGCGTTTCAGAGATTTCGTACCATCTGGAATAAGCAAAAAGCTGCTCAAATTCCATTCGGAGCAGAAAATTCAAAACAAGAAGAGTGACAAGCACTGAATTAATAAACGCATACATCTAAGCAATTTAAAGAGGAAAAAAGACAACCGTGTGCCTCAATTGAACTTTAGCTGAGTTCTGCGAAATCCAGACGGTAAAAAAACAATCGAGAATGATTGACATTTCGCCAACTCCAAAATGGTTTTGCAAAGAAAAGTGAAGAAAGATCACGTTTATATAAGCAATAAAAAGCGCTTAAACTTTGGCAGCTCTGAATTGCGGAGATTTGTAATCAAGTAATAGCGAAAAAAAAAAAAACAACATAACACAGGAGACGAACTTCACAGATGATATGCAGAAAAGTTCAACGAAGAAAATTCTTCACTTTCCTGGCAAAGTGTTTATTGACTGAGCAAACAGTTCACCATCAGTTCTTGCCACTAATCCACAATCCCTTAATATTTCTTCAGTTTTCGTCCTTGCTCTAAAATTCCACAAAAAATCATTGAAAGACTCAATTTTTATCATCTGCGTTCAAGAAAGACTATTAAAAAATTTTAAAAAATTCTCATTCTCAATTAACACGGCCTTTGCTCGACATCTTGCCGATGACAAAACTCGACTTTCCTAAACATTAAAAAAAAAATCGGCCGCATCTGAAACAGATGTTACAAAAACTTACTTACGTGCCATCACGAATAATGCTATACGTCCCTTCATATGACATGTCAACAACGGTACTTCCTTCACCGGACAGGTGGCCAGGAGAACCTTTAATTTCTCCTCCATCTATCACTAAGTCTAATTTCGACCACAAATCGCAGAAGTCCTGAAAATCTCTCTTATAAATATCATCCATAAAACCTTTAACACTATACAATTTAAAAGAACTTACTTCTATGCAACGCGGATTACGATCACCAGACAAATTAGCACTGGTTTGTGCTAGAGGAGCTGTTAATTTTTTTGTCAGCTGCGTAACGAAATCATGTTTTGGTATTCGTATTCCAACAGTTTTAATACCTTGGTTGAACTCCGACGGCAAATGGTCAGAACGAAAAAAAAGTAGGGTTACAGGGCCAGGAAGAAGCCGCGTCAAGGTTGATTCTTCCAGTTTAGTAGAACACCACCTAAAACCAGAACATTCGACTATGATAACAGTAGTGAACTTCTGAGACTATCAGACTGCATTTAAAAAATCGCTCAACAAATTATGACTCGACGAAATATCTTGAAAAACAGCCGCCAAAAAACTGACAGATGCAACCTCTGAATAGCTTCAGAGGTAAATTTTGACTGAGTGACCGTTTAAATGAATGGAACAGAAAACCAACTTCTTGACTTGACCAACGTCTGATATGAACAGCCCACATGGTTTCGAAAAATTTCGTTGTTTGATATTATATATTTTGTGGACATTTCTCACTGTCGCAACTAAACCATACAAAGTATCAGTAGGTAAAGCAATCACACCACCGTCTTTCAGAACTTTAGCCGCTTCAGAAAGTGCAAATTCAAACGCTGAAATCATACTGCCTTTACAAGAAACATTTTGATGACAAAATTATGTTCTACTAACTTATGAGTAAGTAACAAGCAGCAAAAAAAAAAAAAAAAAAAATCCAAAATACACGGTTCGGAAAGACGAATAATATGGGTCATTTTGCAACAAAGTGATCAGTAACCGTGAACTGGGAATAAGAAACCGAGAACGCAAAACAAAATTCGAATCTACGTTATCGTTAATCCTGCGATGCAGATGTTACGGCATAACCCTAAAGGAATTTTAAATGAATTATCTGCCCGATACGTCTTACGAGAAAAACGATGCCAAAAAACTCAAGAAAAAGGAAAAAAGTTACATAACTGGACTGGCTTGAGTCAACAGCAAACGACACTCAACAACAGCTGATGAAACATAGAAAGTGAATGAATTAATGAAGCTTCAAAATTAGTTACCTTAACTTTCTAAACAGACAGCAGAAATGAAATAAAAGAATAAACAAAGCCAAGTAAGTGGTACTTAGTTGGCGGATATGTGCAACAGTTTCGTCGGCAATGTCGATAAATTTCTTCCCCTCTCCTTCATTTTCTGTCTCATTTTTTCTCTAACTTTTTGTTATCTCTTTTCCAATAAAGCACCGAAATAATGAAATTCTTTTGAAAACTATATAAAAAAAAGGGATTGTTCTTTAAAATTTTGGCAGCAATGACTGGCATACGCATCCGTCAACTGTAAGTTGTAAAAATGAAATCTGTGTAACTCAAATGTGTATCGGAGCTCTAAACAAAGTCAAATACTACACCGTCGTCATGCTGAGAGTTATATAAGTTTCAACTTGGGATATTCTAAACTGTTATGACGACAACTACGCAAATATAGCGTATACGACAGCTTTGAACAGCAACTAAAAAACTAAGCGTCTTTACGACCTTAGTGCTGTCGGACGTAAGAGCAGTTTGATACGGGAATAATCCAGTTATTGACAGGTTAAGCAGAAGTAAAAATAAAAGCAGAAATAAAAATATCATGCATAAACAGAATAGGCACATAAATTTTCCCACTCTATAACCCTCCGTTATCGTTCAAGACTAAACATACAAAAATTGTCGAGAAAAGGAACTCACCGGTGAAAAAAAATTTTTTCTTTTTTCATCCACCAATGGAAAAGATTTATTCAAAAGACGTTCAAGAGGAGATGACCGATTTGGAAAGCATCCAGAAACTTTGTCCTCTTCCATTTGTCCCATACGACAACGATTTTGCCCTCGCACGTAACGTATATAATAGTCGAGTGACCGACCAAACTTAACCGATTACACTTAATACTCAACTGTAAACAAGTTGTCACTAAAGTCTTAAACAAATACACAGAAGGACGCTGAACAAAATAAGGAGACGAAGCAGCCAGATGACGGCGTCAAAAAAAAGAACTATTTATGTGTACATATGCTCGTCTCTACCTCTTTTTTGTTTTTTTAATAATTGCCATAAAAAATGTCCAAAAGTGATATGATATGCACTACATAAAATTTTACATATCTCAATCATAAAAAAGTAAATTTTATTCCAGTAACCCGGACTATATTTTGTTCAGTACACTCGCTCATGAGTCAGATTCGATTTTCGGAATGGATACACCGAAAAAAATGCTCTGACTGTCACGACTAATAAATAAGATAACAAATTTGTGCAAAAAATATTTCTTCTTTTTTCCCTTTAAATAATCCTAACCCTGAATTACCTGCTTTTTCTGGCATCTAAAGATTAACCGTCTAAAGACAGTGTTTGTCTTAAAAGAACAAAAATTTTTAAACATGTACTGAACAAATGTGAAATACCACAACTCACCTTACTGCTGATGATATTTTCCCTATGCTAATTGTTGTGTATAATAGTGTGAGATACGAGTTATATCATATATATATTCTGCTTCTGTAAAAGTAAATACAAGAAGAAAGAAATTTAAAATCATTTGGGAGCTTTTTAATTTGCAGCATTCAAAAATATCCTCAACAATACACAGCAAATTGTATTTAGTAAAATAAGAGATATTTCAGCAGATTATAACCCAAGTAGTTTTGCAAAAATGACTTAAGAAAATCTAGATGATTACGGAACAGCTGGGAAACTAAAAGCTGTCAGTATCAAACAATAAACTTTGGTTTGTTATTTCAACAGCGCAACGTGATGCATTCAGAGTGAAGTTGTTAAATCAAATGCTTTTATCCATAAATCAAATTAGATCCAATTGTCAAGAATATTATTTCTTGCCAGAACAAAATCATTTTTGAACTGTTCAAATAAACGGAATATAATCTTCAGAAACAATGCAAAATCTTTATGGTACCAACAAATTCCAGTACTGTTAGCGAAAGAACGTTACAATTTTAAATTGTTCATGTTCAATTGACAAAACAGACTGTTAAATTAAAGTACAGAGATACAACAGTAATACAAGTGATTTTATGAGGTGAAGAAAAAAAGATAAGCAACTTTTATAGATCACCAGTTTGAAGCATCACTAAGTGACAAAATGTTATGATCTATAAATCACTAAATAATATGCAATAATTCTATCAATGTATTATCGTAACCAAAAAATCACTGTCTGACAGCTGTTATTTCTCCTGATACAGTAACACAGGCAAATTGGAAAAAAACTATTATAGAATAATATCAAAATTACATCATCTTTTTAACGAAAAAAAAAAAAAAA